GTTCCTGACTTTTTAGTGTGTTTTCTTGTGCAAAAGTGGTGTTGTGGAGTCAAGACCTTTGTTGCGAGAGTGAATCAGCGTAGGTGATCTGGCGGTTATTGAACTTTCTGAGATGAGGAAGAAAAAATGGCAGCCTCCATTTTTATATATCTATATAAAATTCAGTTGTTGATCAAATCTCTCCAGCACCAAACATGCACCGTTCTGTTAAAGGGCAGAGGGGGAAAAGGCAGTAGTTGTTGCAAAGCCGAAGATTAATTTAGATGATGCCCTAGATAAGGAGTCAGCTTTCATTGCAAACCTTATGAAAGGGCATCAGAGGTGGTACCTTGCGGATAGTCTGTGGACGTACAGAGAAAGTAATTAAAAATGTCCAGGAACAGATAGAGGCAGAACGAGCCAATCAAGAAGAGAAACTGTTAAGGAATGTGCTGTTAGTATAAGAAGAGTTAGTCCTTCAGATATGTTTGGTCTCAGGTCGTGTAGAGCTCTAAGGGTAAGAAGCAGTACTTAGAATTGAACCTGGAAAAAATAGGTAACAAGTGCAGCTTTGAAATTAATGAAATATGCATATAGTAGCTAAGCCCTGCAAGAAGGTGAGAATCCACACTTGGAAGCTTCGGAGTTGTCTTCAAGGCCTGCCTCGCACAGAGCTGTTGTAGTTATCTTTATCAAGGCACAAAAGTTCTGGGAGCAAAGAACTGTGGGAGCCCTACTCCAGTCCTTTCACTGGCTGCTAAGTCCTCTCTGCCTTCCTCATTCTGTGCTCCTGCTTAGGTGTTCCACATACTTTAATGTTTCAACTGATCTGTCTTCCACCTCACTTTCCCTTGGGCAGCCTTTTTAGGATTAGCTGTTGCCTAGGGTACATCTCTAGTTAAAGACTTTCCCTATGGAGTATTTGTAGTCTTTCACCAAATGAGATGCATTCCTGGCCCAGATCCAGAAGAGACTTAACTTTGGTTCAAACAGGATGGAAATCACAGCCACTCGTTTAAAGGGAAATGATAGCTAATTTATGCAGTAGCCAAATCGTTCACTCACTACTTTAATGCCAGTAGCTCACAAAGTAGAATTTTTTCTCACAAGACTCCAGAGCTTAGAAGGAGCATTGATTCCAATAAGGTTGATGATCGTGCTTCTTTTTCTCTCTTTAACTTCAAAACTGTGGGGTTGTATCGCCTCAGTCAGCCGGAATGGGTAGAGGGAGTTTTAATCCTTCAAAATAAGTCAAAAATCCATCGAGCCCTTAAAGACTAATAATATTTTGTCAATCAGACGCCACTTCTTCAGATGGTTCTGCTAACTGAAATTAGGCTCCCTGCTTTGTTGTTAGCATTTTCAAAGGGGTTTATGTGTGTGTGTGTGTGTTTTAAGGGATGCCTTTTTCTTATTTAAAATGCTGTTTTCAAAGTGGGGCGTGGCAAAATCTGAAAGGAAGTTAAACCCCTTCCCTGCATGGCCCAAGGCAAATTGAGGCGACACAACCCTGCACTTTGCATTTTATGGACAGAGCAAGATCCATAAACTCCATTTCCTTTGTTTGTACCCTAAGGACAGGTCCTAGAAGGCAATAGTAACCAGGCTATGCCTTGGTTGCAAGAACAATGTGTGTTCATTGTTACAGAAGGTTGATGGAAAATATCTCTCTCTCTCTCTCTCTCTCTCTCTCTCTCTCTCTCTCTCTCTCTCCCCATGAGAGTAATGCATGCCTCACATTTTAATTTAGAAATAATGGGGGGGGGATCTGTGCCTAGATAGGGGGAAAATAGGATTAAAGTTTTAGACTAGACAAGAAAGATAAAGGGAAATAAAATTGTTTGAATTTGTAGAAAGGCCCAAGAAATTGCACATCATAACAGAAGACTACTGCTGATTTGATTCTTCAAAACCTGCTTTAAATCCAGTTGGAATCTTTGTGGTGGTGAGTTTTTAGGCTGATTGTGGAGTTCAAAAATATGGGCTGGGTAGCAGTGGAGGACTTTTACGTAGCAGCATTTTATCCCTTAAGCTGATGGAAGCCAAAGCTGATGGAACCCCTTGCTTTCAAATTAAAATCCACATTTAAATCTATTTTGTGAATTGCCTTAGCCAGGTGAGAGGCAGTTGGATTAGAAGATAAAACTGTAATTGTTCATCAGAAATGTACATTAGCCATTTCCCAGCTGTGTCAATAGAACGACTGGGAATTAATTCTTGAGATTGTAATATTAGTTCAGAAATTATTGCTGAACAAAAAGAAAAGCTTGTTAATACAATTAACAATTGCTATCCAGCTAAGGAAGAAAACTTGTTCCAAGAGAGAAAGAGAGGCTGCAAAATGTCACCAAGAATTATTCTGAATTCATGTAATAAAGTATTACTTTCAATCAGTGTGAAGCTAAATCAGACCCCTGATCCATCTAGCTCTGTACTTCCTGATGGGCAGTGGCCTTGGAGGATCTTGCAAGATCTTAGCACTTTCCTCGCTCTTGAAGAATGTCAGTTTCAGTTCATCCCAAAGCATTTCAGCATCCCAGGAGCAAAGCTATGTGCTAAAAAGCCAAGCCCTGTTTCTCCACCTGGGTAAACCAATTGCTATGCCAAGAGAAGCTGAATTCCGTGACCCACAGATTATAACAATTAAGATCACAGTCTTAAGTGGTACTTTTTGCCTTGAGGTGAATCTTATTGCAGCCCTTGTCATTGGGTATACCACCGGCCTTTGCAAGTGACAAGTATGTGGGACATTTGATTCTACATGACAGTAGATCCTAGGTGGTGCTGATCTGCCCCATAGTTTATGTAACCCAGTCTTATATCTTCTTGCTACACGACAAAAGGAATGAATCTGTCCAGGCAGGAGGGTGACCTGATGATTCTGTGCTTAAGTTTGGATGCCTAATGTGAAACTGTTTCTGATTTTGCCTGTGTTCCAGGTTAACCGGTTTCCAGTTGCCTCCTCCCATCGTGAGTACTGGGATGGTGCTGTCCTTGTGGCTTGTGAGCGATTATGCGGTCAGTGCTCAAGGTTTCCAGGCAAACTACGAAGGTAGGCTTGCTTCTGTTTCTGCCCAGACCTTTACACTCTGTAACATCCTTTCTGTAAAGTGCACACCCAGATCTGTTGACTGCACATGTGGACATATTCTGCTTTGGGTCTTCCTTGTTGTCCTTTTGATATTCTTAAGAAAATACTTTTTAAAGTACTGGTGGTCTTGGTAGGAAGTCATTGGGCCAGCATGCTCTTGTTTTGAACTTGCTTACTAACGAAGGGGTTGACGCTGCCTTCCAAATGAAAATATGCTGGGGATCGCTCGTTTGTCTTTTATCTTTCCTCTTCCTAGTTACTTTGCTTGAGGTGGTGAGTTGGTTGCTGTACTGGGTCAAAAAAGAAGCACCTTTGAGAGGAAACAGCAGTGGCTTGAATCCTGTGGCAAATCTCTGCTGGCAAAAGGGACTCTCTTTAGTGGAGCAGGGTATCTGCGCCTTCCCACTTGAATTTATGTGCGCCTTCCCGCTTGAATTGTAGCCCAGAATGGCATCAGATATGCTGCTGTTAGGGTTCCAACGCAGTCCTTGGCAACTGGTGGGAAGATTGTGGGCAGGGACATGTGGAGCTGCAACACTGACTGCAGTACTATGCCACTTCTGTTAAAAATCTGGAGGTGATGTACGGCTGCTCTAGGATTTGCCAGAAACACCATAAAACCATAGAGTTTCTGGAGATTCCTATAACTACCCTGCATCGCTTCCAGGTTTTACCAGAAGTGACACAGTGCTCCTCCCTGCTTGCAGAAATTTCCCGTTGGATTCAAAATGATCCTTGCCAAGGGGTATCTAGGTACCACCCTCTTACCTAGTGCCACCCTCTGTCCCCGACCCTGAAGGAATGAGGTAAGCCCACGAACATGGCGAGGTGGTCGGTCAACAGATCGCGATCGAGCATGTTGAATGCCACTGTCAGGACAAGCAACAACAGCAGGGCTGACCCACCTCTATCCAGCTGTCTGCAGAGATCGTCTGTGAGGGCAACCAGCATGGTCTCCGTCCCAGGGCAGACGCTGGACTGGAATGGGTCCAGAGCGGATGGGGTGCAATTATGAACAGAAGAAGGAGAGGAAGACAAAAATGAGCTACAGGGTTCAATCTAGCAGGCAGTTCTCCTAGGCAGGCCTTTTAGAAATCAACAGTCTTATTAAGCTAAAAAAGACTGTGTGCAGTTCTGGTCACCACACCTTAAAAGGGATATTATAGCTTTGGGAAAAGTGCAGAAAAGGGCAACTCAAATGATAAAAGGGTTGGAACACTTTCCCTATGAGGAAAGGTTAAAGCACTTAGGGTTCTTTAGCTTGGAGAAACGACGACTGAGGGGTGACATGATCGAGGTTTATAAGATTATGCATGGGATAGAGCAGGTAGGGAAAGAGGTACTTTTCTCCCTTTTTCACAATATAAGAACTTGTGGGCACTCTCCCCGTTACTATTCATATGGATTTTGGAAGTACTACTTGGAAGGATTAGAGAAGACAAAGAAATCAAGGGCTTAACCAACAAAGGTTTTTCTTATAAGTATAGAGCTTTTGCTGATGATGAAATGTTTATGGTGGAAGATCGTTTACGGAATTTACTGTTGCTTATGGAAAAAATAAAAAAAAATGGAGACCTAGCAGGTTTTTATGTAAACAAAAATAAATCCAAGGTGATGTGCAAAAATATGACTGGTGGGAAACAGGAGGAACTGCAGAAGTTGATACAGTGTGAAGTTGTTAAAAATACTAAATATCTAGGTGTTGATTTGACAATGAAGAATATAGATCTTTTTAAGAATAATTATGACAAACTTTGGCCCCAAATACAGCAGGATATAAAAAATGGAATAAACAAAATTTGTCGCTTTTGGGGAGAATTTCGGTGGTTAAAATGAATATTTTACCATGTTTGATGTTTCTATTTCAGACAATCCCAATAGTGAGAGATTCAAAGATATTAAATTCTTGGCAAAAAGAAATTTCAACGTTTGTGTGGGCGGGGATGAAACCAAGGATTAAGATGAAGATTTTATGTGACGCAAAAGAAAGAGGTGGATTTCAGTTACCAAATTTCAGGCTGTATCATGATGCAGTTTGGTTAACTTGGTTGCAACAATGGATTACTTTGGACAATAGAAAATTGTTGGCGTTAGAAGGACATGACTGTAAATTTGGTTGGCACGCTTATCTATGGTATGGGAAACTAAAAATGGATAATTTTTTAAAGCACCATTATATTAGAAGAACGCTATTTGATACATGGACTAAGTATAGAAGGTTCTTCTCGGATGAGAGACCACTTTGGGTAGTACCGGCAGAGGTAATTAAACCGTATTCGACACACAAAGGGGAAGACTGGCTACATTATAGAGACATTTTGAAATCTGTGGGAAAGTCATTTGAAATGAAAGCGGAAGAAGATTTGGACTTTAGGTATGGTTGGTTACAATATAGACAGATTTATTATTTGTTTAAAACAGATAAAAAAGAATTTGGGTTTAGGAAAAAATATAATGAAATTGAAAAGGTTTGTTTCGAGGGAGGTAAAAAGTTGATATCTAAAATGTATAAGATATTGTTACAATGGTATACAGAAGATGAGACAGTTAAGGAGCAGATGATAAAATGGGCAGTCAATATGAATAAAGAAATATCTATGTCATCTTGGGAATTTTAATGGAAAAATGCTATGAAAATATCAACGTGTAATAACCTAAAAGAAAATTGTTATAAGATTATGTATAGATGGTATATGACTCCAAAAAAGATTGCAAATATAAACAGTAATATGTCAAACAAATGTTGGAAGTGCAAAAAAGTAGAGGGCTCTTTTTACCATATGTGGTGGACTTGCGATAAAGCAAAAAACTTTTGGACTGAGGTCCACACGGAGATGGAGAAAATTGTGAAATGTAAGTTTAAGAAAGAACCTGAAATATTACTTTTGGGACTTAAAATGGAAGAAGTCAACATTGCGAAACGGACTTTGATATGGTATATGATCACAACTGCTAGATTGACATATGCTCAATGCTGGAAACAGGAAAGAACTCCCGAAATCGGGGAGTGGATAAAAAAAATTCCTCACTTATTTTCAAGGATGCTGCTGCTGCCAAAGTCAAATGGACCCAAACTATGCCTCTCAGCATGCTTGTACACCACCCTGAGCCTTGTTTCACAGGGGAGGGCAGTCTATAAGCCAAATTTATAAATAAATAAATAATAGTAAATAAGATTTACCCTCTTCCACCCCTCTAATTTTTTTTGGCTCCCGAAATTGCTTTTAGCATCTTCCAGCTGATGACAGACATCTCTTTAATCTGTTTATTTTAAACAGGCACCCTTTGAGTCTGTCCTCGCCACACTTTCGGTTACTCTACTTTATTATTTTTGACTTGCTGTCTGAAAATCCTAGGCCTCTGGGATAACCTTCTAAGATCTGGCACAGAGTGTACCTTTTCTGCAGGTATTTTGCTTTCTGTCTAACTCCAAGCTCTCTGTGAAGACTGCTACTGCTTTTGTTCGTGTGTGAAAATCCTCTCTTCTGAGCAGTCCTGCTTCATTACATATCCTGAGCAGATGAAGAGCTACCCCTGCAGAGCTGGCTTAGTGATCTGTCTCCTGAGCCCATTTGAGGAGGGTGGTATATAAATCTAATAAAATAAATAAATAGTTACCCTGAGCACCAGATATAAATTGTTTTATCATTTATAATAATAAGTAGAATTACAGCCAAAGATTTTTGGCAGTGCAAAGACATTTTCTCTGCAGTGTCTGTATTTTTCTTGGAGCAGTATTTCACGATACAGTTTGCACTTCCCAGGGTGTATCTGGGGCCATGTACTTAAAAAAATATATAGAAATTTTACACCGAGGTAACCTAAATTTTTCACCAGCAGCAGAATTCAGGAATGTGTGTACATTATGCAAATTAATAATTTATACAGGTAGTAGCTTTTGCATATTTTAGTCTGCAATTTAGATAATTTGCATAATTTATTCTGCTTCTGATGGTTGTGCAGAGGCACCAAGTGTTATGCAGGGTGGTGAAGTCTCATCTCCAATGAGTGGGAATCTCACTCAGCCAGCCTGTTGGAGTGAGTACGCTTTGATGCATATCTTCTCTGTTACAAGGGTAAAAGTTACAGAATTGCTTTGGGGTTAAATAAAAACTCATTCCGTGGGAAGATGAAATCTGTTATTTTGCATTTTGGTGGAACAGCAGCTTGAGGTCCTGGCTATATCTGTCAGAAATTGGGCAGATGGGGAGGGGAGGGGGATGTCCTTTACTATCCAGCCATTATTTGCAAGAGAACCTGATCAAATGGCAGTGACTCAGATTGATGGCCTGACTTGACTGGGCCAAGATTTTCTGCCTGTTTGGTGGGCCAACATGTTGGAGCACATAGGGCTTTCCCTAATAAGGAAAAATAGTTGTTCTGGAGCTGGTTTGTACGGGCCTTCACAGTTGTGCATCCTGCACTTGTCAAAGAATTTGATGGTACATAAGCACCTGTGAAATCACTCCAGATAGTATTCTCCTTACATGTAAATGCAGATGTCAAGTGCTTGGAACACTCAGAAGGAATAATAATAATAATATATGTAGGCACAGACACAGTGCTTTGGATATGACAAGAGCAGCAGTGAGGAAGTTTAACTCATGGCATGATAAAAGTTGGAATGTTCCTAAAACATTGCAAGTGCGCTGGACCAACAATTACTAGCACACACACACACACAGCAAAAAATTGTCTGCTGAACTTATTTGAAAGAAAGACATGGCCCAGACAGGCCCGTCGGTTCAGGTAGGCTGGCCGTGGGCCTCCCCGCTCCAGACAGGCCGTGTTGGCCCAGGTAGGCTGGCCATGGGCCTCCCACCCCCCCAGACGGGCCCTGCTAGCCCAGGTAGGCCAGCTACGGGCCTCCCCCCCCAGACAGGCCCCGTTGGTTCAGGTAGACCGGCCGCAGGCCTCCCATCCCCCCAGACAGGCCGCGTCGGTCCTGGTAGGCCGGCCAT